GTTGATAGCTCATTGTGAAGCCTACTCTCTGCACAATACCTGGTAGCAGTTTGATTGACAACCGTTGAATATTCAATGAGATATGAATTTTATCCCAAAGGAAAAAAATGTCGTGAGAACAAGCTTAACACAATTTTTCAAGGGCAAAGGTTTGCCAGGCAAGAAAGATTGCTTGGATTGCATAAAAAATAGTGAAGGCACACTTAGTGAACGCCACTGGACGAAGATCAAATTTTAAATAAAAAATGCAAAGGCAAAAGCAAAAAAAAATTTTTTTTTAATAATTGTATTATCGTAAAATTAGGCGTTGTATATCCTTATTTAGGGCACTACTGAAAACCACGCTTAGTGAGTAGGTTTCCGTCATTAAAGATTAACAACACAATATTTTCTTGGTTTTAGACAGTAAGCCTGGGGATTTTGTTAAGCCTCCAACACAGAAAGCCATAGGTAAAATGGCATCTGTCCTTAAAGGGCTGGACACAAATGTTGACCTGAGTAAGTGGCATTTTTTCTGCAATGGCAAAGATGAAATCCCACAGCAGGGTAAAGGAAATGACTATGACTGTTTGGTCAACTGCTTTTGTGTTCTATTTTCTTGTAAGATACGTCAATAAGTCAAAGAATCTGCAATATAAGACAAAATAGGCTTCCATTGGGTGGTTATGGATTTTTCTTTAAACCATAGAAACAGCAAATACTGTATTACCTAACAGTGTTCAGTTTAGCTAATCAAAAGGYACAATTGGAGGACAAAAATTCACAAGAGCAGCACAGACTCTTAGCATGGAATCTACCAAAGGGGTGTGTCGGTCAGAGTATCTGTGATTACAGATCAGGAAATCTGTGGGCAAGGTTGACTGAAAAATAGTGTATTTTCTTCGTAGTAGCCCAATAACACGCTCAACGTGTATTCTTACATTTGCAATACCTCTTGTTGTTTCCACATCCACTGGGTCCAGCTGAGCCTTTCCTTTTGTGAAAGCTGGGATTACCAGTTTTGCTTGCATAAGTCCAACAGACTCAGTAATTGTAAAACCTCTGTYTGCCATAACCATGTCTCCTGGAATTAGCTTTTCCAGGAAACCACAATTCTCGGTTAAAAACTTATCAGAAACACGACCTCCCCAGGCTTCAGACACATAAGAAATAGTTCCTTGTGGAGTTATTCCTATAAGAACCTTGATGGTATTGTGATGCTTGTAGCTTCAAAATGTCTGCGCCCTAGCTAGCAAATTGGACGGCTTTTCGATAAAGACTTCGAAACAGTCGATAACAACAGTAGTTTTCTTACCAAATGCGTATTGATAACACTGAGGCATGGTCCTCCAGAGATGGTCCCTGTCTGGCCAGTAAACAAACGGCAACAATCTTTCATCCATCACAACAACCCAGTGGAAAAATATTCTGGAAATGGTAGATACTGCTACAGCAAACCGATATGCAAGATCCTGTAACGGTGGATTCAGCCGGAGTTTAATAAGAACGATCACAAATTCTTGAAATCTGTCTAGTGACTGGGTCTGTCGAGTAACATATGGGACAACATGATTGAAAACAACTATAAGCACTTCCTGTGAAGGCAGTCCAGTGTAAAAACGAACCTTCTCATCAGATTCAAAGAAATATTTGCTGGGTGCTTGGTATTTGCTTTTCTGAAACATGTACTCAAACTCTGTAGTTTGGCACTCTGCCTCTTGGTACTCAGTCGTGTCACTTGTCGTTTGACAACCGGCGTCCTTTCTGTTTTCACCTTCGCCTTCGGTCACGATCACATCTGCAAACAATGTTTCCTCGTTCAGCCCCTCTTCGCCTTTGTCTTGACTTCCCTCAAACGTTCTAGAGGAGCTTGACTGGCTAAAGTCGATCTCGACAACAGGAAGGCTGCTTTCGTAAAGCTTCTGTCGTTTCTCAGCTGATTCACGTTCTTGGCGTTCGCGTGCAAGCTTTTCCCGCTTCCTTGACCTCTCGTCTCTCTTAGCTTGAGCTTCGAAGTTGATTTTAGTTCCGTATTTCTTTTTCCCGAGAATTAATGTAGGTACCCAGTCTTCGTGGTAYTTGTTCCAGTAAGGAGCTGGCTGTCCATTTACGAAATGTTTGCCACAAACACGTTCGGAAGCGAGAACTTGCTTTGTGTCCGTGTCGCCTCTACCGATTGCTTTTATCCACTCGTTTCTGTGCTCTGTAGTTAGTTCTTCCTCAAACTCTCCTTTGTTAGTTATCACTGAAGGTATGCGATAATATCCAATGCCTTTATCTCGTTCACTTCTACTTCCACAGCCAGGAACAACGCAAAGAACCATCTCGATTTTCTACCTCTGGCGCTCTGCGCTAAGCATTTGTTTACACTTACATGAGCACCAACATGGCGGATAGCAACCGTTGTCAAGAAGGAGGTCACGTGGGTGAAAACCAAGAATAGTTGACATGATAAAGTAAATCAAGTTGCTGTGAAACCCCAACATGATCAGAGAACTGCTGGACATCAAAGGAATGATCAGAATGCTAAAAAGAATGTTAAGTGGGACGGATCGAAAAAACCACAAAATGTTGAAATTGACATTGTTTATGTAAATTAGCCTCGTTTTGGTTTTGGGAGCCTCAAGTTCATGTTTTGCTCCTCGTGGTTGAAAATCGAGTTGTTATTCGGTGTACGAGTATTTAATGCCGAATAAAAGTGTTAAATAACAAAATATTTCAATAGGTTATGGGCCCAGAATGCTTCCACTGCGAAGTCAAGATATCGTGGAAGATTCTCACGGTGCTGAATTGGCGAAAACAAGAGATTTTGTTGTTGTAAAGGTAACTTCAAAATGGCGGATGCGAGAAGCACGTCAACCATGGTTGTTCCTCTGGATGGTTCAAACTATAATACTTGGAAAATTCAATGCAGAATGGCTTTGATGAAGGAAAATCTTTGGAGTATTGTTAGCGGAACTGAAGTTGCCCCTGCTGCGACGGAAACCGAAAAGTTAGCGAAGTTTGAAGCT